CCCCTCAAGAGCAAGCTTTCCTTGGAAGAGCCCCTCAAGAGCAAGCTTTCGACTGATGATGTTCTTTTATAAAAGAGTGGGGTGGGAGAAGGGTTATTGGATCCTCAAGTGAGATTCCAGAAGGCCCCTTCCACACCTGCCCACCATTTGTGTGTAATTCTGTTCTAATTGCACATGACCTCTTGGTCTTGGAAGTATGTAGTATGTAAAAGGTTAACTGAAGAGTCACTCCATCTTCCCCATATGGTATGGGAAAGTCATCATTCCTGCTGGAGAGAGATCTGGTAATATGACTGTTTTTCAGGGCTAGTGATGATCCTGTAAGTAATATCTCATCCATACTCTTTAAGTAAGCTGTATAACGCTCATTGGTTCCTTAAATTGGACTTTGATTGAATATACTTTATTTTGTCATTGTTGTCCCATATGTATGGATAGATATTTGTTCATATCCCCCAGGAAAAGAGTTCTTATAGTAAATGTCTTATAATTTTCTATTAAATAATGGACAAAATGAGGGGAAACAATAAGAATCCAGGTAAATGGGCCTTTGGTATGAAGTTTTATGTTGCTTTGACCCTGAATGTGTTACTCCCTTTCACTTACAGCTGTAGGTGCCAGAGATAACAATTTCTCTAGTGTGTTTGTTTATTTCATCCACCCTTTTTAGAGATTTCAAAGAATTCTTTTCACTTGAAGTGTTGCGTATAGTTGCTCTTATCCTGAATCTCTGTTGACACTGTGCTAAAGAATGGAAGATGGGGAAATTTCTATGTCCTAATGAGAACATGTCAGTCTCTTAGTGGGCCTCAGCTCAGTGAGTCGATGGCTAGAGGAGTCAGAAGTAGGAAACTTTACTTTACCCGCAGGATCTAATGCTTTGTAGAGTATTGCCATGGTTATTTTCTCCATGTCAGAACCAGGAGCGGACCTTTCTTTGCTCTTCAAGTTCCTGCAGGTAAATGAAAGCAGGTGGTGATCTGAAGATTGGGCTGCTCAAGAGTCCTTCCTGCTTCAGCCAGGCAACAGCTTCCTGCAGGTTGTTAGCATTACCATGTTCCATATTATATCTCCAGCAGCCTCTGATCCAGGGAGAAGGTCTTGTTCGTACTCTCTCAGTTTACTATGCTTTCTAGGGTTCAGGGCAGCGCTTTGTCCTCCAAACTCAGTTCTCCGATGAACCCCTGAAAAATCGGACCTTTATTTTGTAAGATCAGAGATGATGACCAAAATCCTTTCTATGTTAGAAGCCAAAACTCCTCAAGTTTGTTTTGTATTTTGTTTTGTTTTGTTTTTTTTATAACAGCTTTTCAGATTTTTTTAGTATAATACTGAAGGTCACAATCAGTAATAATTATGGTAAGAATAAAGACAAAATGATAATGTAAAATATAATTGCATGTAAAACGCTTTTACATTAAATTGTGTTGGGAGTATTTGGGTTGAAGGATACCTAAGTTAGTGAATGAAGTATATCTTTTTATGACTCTAAAAAGATTCAAAAGAAGAACTGAAAAATACATGTTGGTCTAGAGTAGGGATTGGCAGACTTTCCTATAGTTAGATGTAAATACTTCAAGGAGTCCTCTCAGGTTATTATTCTCTCTGTTGCAGTGAGTCAGCTCTGCAGTTGTAATAGTAAAGCAACCATTGATGATTCTTAAGGAAAATAGTATAATTGTATTAGATAGAAGCTTACCTGGAATATATATGGACTGGAACCTTTGTTGGAGTTGTACATGGTTGTACCTCTTGAATCCTGGGTTTAAAGGCATGCACCATTGTGCTAGCCTTCAGGACATGGTGGCATGCATGTTCTACTTGCCTGTGTTTTGTCTTACACAGCTACTGTTCCACCTTGGGTGGGTGTGGGATGATGCTCTTGTTCACTGTTGGTTTAATAAAATGTTGACTGGCCAGTAGCCAGGCAGGAAGTACAGGTGGGGCTACCAGTCGAGGAGAATTCTGGGAAGAGGAGAGGCACAGAGACAGAGTCACCAGCCAGACGCAGAGGAAGCAAGATGAGAATGCCTTACTGAGAAAAGGTGCCAAGCCGCGTGGCTAAACAGGGATAAGAAGTAGGGGTTATTTTAAGTCTTAAGCGCAGTAAGCCTGAGCAATAGACCAAACAGTTTATAATTAATATAAGCCTCTGTGTGTTTATTTGGGACTAAAGCAGGACAGAAACTTCCATCTAAATTGGGTAAAGATTTTCAGTATTAATCAAAATGTTCTAATATCTTAAGAATTAGTTGTCACATGTATGAGCTTTTTTAAATTAATATAAAATACCTCAGAGTTACCATGTGAATGTGGTTCAACTGAGTAATAAAAATCATGTTATTAGTAGTTATATAAACTACTAATTTCAAGTTATCTGTTTGGTGTTTACTTTTATTCTCTAAACCATATAGGCATATTAAACATTTTAAAAGTGGGACAGCAAAGACAATTATTCAAGGTAAAAAAGATGATGTGTTCAGGCATGGAATCCAAGGATAGAACTCTTTCAGCAAACAGTAAATACTATCACCCACTATAGTGGGAGGTAGAGTCAGTAAAGTAAGGATTGGCTGTCTCTCGAGTTCAGTTTTAGACTATGTTTCAAGGAATTGAAATTGCACTTATTGTTTTAGATAACTTTTTTGGTTAATGGCCAAAGTAATCTTGGATGAAAGAAATAGATGTTGTCACCCAAATAAATCAGATAAGTGGTTTTATGTAAAATTATGCAACATTTATATTTTGTTTTATTGAAACAAGTTCTCATCTAGCCTAGGCTGGTCTTGTACTTACTATGTAACTAGAGCTGGCTTTGAACTCTTGATCCTTTTTCCTCTGCCTCCTGAGTACTGGTATTACAAGTGGATGCCACTGCCTGGCAAACTTAGGTAATCTATTTACAAAGTTTTTGAGACTGGGTCTTGCTCTGTAGTCCAGATAGATTTAGAATTCACTGATAGTGGAGGCTAGACTCAAACTCAGAACAGTTCCGTTTCCTCAGTTTCTTTAGTTATGAAATTATGTGTCAGCACCCACACTGATTTTTAAAATTACGGACTATTGAAATTGAAAAGGATCAGAAATCTAAGTGTAAGATGCAATTTTTTTAAAATGTGTATGGGTATTTTGCCTGCATGTTCTGTGTACCACATGTTTGTAGTGGCTACAGAGGCCAGAAGAGGGTGTTGGAGCCTCTGAAACAAGAGTTAGAGACTGATGACAGCTGCCATGTGGGTGCTGGGAACTGAACCTAGGTTCTTTGGAAGAAGAGCCAGTGCTCTTAGCCCTAGAATCATCTCTATAGTCTCTAGAAATTTACTTTAAAGGCAATAAATAGGTGACTTAAGGGCCAGTGTGGTTTAATGAAAGCACAGTACCAGAAGATCCTAATAACAGCCAGTTTGTTACAATATTAAAAATTCAACTCTTAAAAAAAAAAAAAAACCTCAACTCTTAAATTTTCTGGCAGTTTCTGTGAGCCAGTTGTTGAATACACTCATGATTACATTTTTTTTTAAATATATAAACTAAAAAGTATTGTTAGAGATGTGCTATGGTCAAAATGAATTCTCTACTAATTGCTATAATTTCTGTTATGTATAGGGTAGAAATGTTATGGAGTGGTGTCCTAGTTCAATAATGTCACATTGATAGCAGCTGCAGTGGGACTCCAAGCTCACTAATTATTAACTTAGTTTTTGCTGTGTCTGCTGTGTTGTATACTCACCTGTTTATATGTCTAGTTTTCCTGGAAGACAGAGTTTCTTGAAGTTTAGCATTCATATTCTTAGCAGTCAATAAAATGCATGACAGAGTCTGCAGACAAAAGCATTTAGTCATTTAGCCCTTGATTAAAGTCAGTTATCTGTTTGGGTCATCTTGGTTATTATAACCTTTCTATCAATAAAATTGGGATAATAATGCCAATCTCTGTAGGCTGTGGTGAGGATTAGTGTAAAGATCTATATCTGTATTTTATTCATAGCAGATGCAAAAATAGTTAGAATGAAGAAGTAGACATGAATGCCACGAGTAACTTAGCCTGTAAGCAGACCTTTGTATTAAGTGTTTTACCACAAACTGGATGAAAATCAAGTATGCGGTTCTGTTATGTTTGTGTGTGTATATACTTCTCTTTCTTCCATTGCAATATAATGGGATACATTTAAAAGGAATATGATGTATAAGAGACAGGAAGCAACCTCTCTCTTATATTTAGCTTTTCTTGTACTCTTATTACAGTATCACGTCCAGTTTTACATTGCTCATTTTAAAGAGGATGTCAAAAAACTCTATGTAGTGTGTCCTGGGAAGAATCAACAGCCATGATTAAAGGGACAGAGAATAGGCCCTTTGAGGTAGCTTTAAGGAACTGAGTTTATTTATTCTGGAAAGCAAACTGGTAAGGAGTTACTTAACTGTCTTCAAGTATACGAGGGGTTGTTAAAGGGAGGATACTCTCCAGTTGTTCCCTAAATGCACAGAGGACTAAAAGAGGAAATCCACATTTCATTTAAAGAAAATTGTGTTAAACACTAAAATTGCCCATCAAGGGACATCATGGAATCTCATTTTTGAAGACATTCAAAATTGGAGAAGCAGCAGATGGTTACTTATAGAAAAGTTTAAATGTTTGACCTTGTGAAAGTGAGAGGTGGGTTTAGTCTATGCAGTTTTGTGTGTGTGTGTGTGTGTGTGTGTGTGTGTGTGTGTGTGTGTGTAAGAATTTTCTTATCCTGAATCTATTAAGAAATCTTCAGGTATCTTATTGGGAAATTACTTAAAATTTTGATAAAATTATACCTTTGTTTCAGGATTTATTTGAATGTGATCATTTGATACTGTTTCTACTAATAACACATTTAAGTTAAAATCGGTTTATATATAAAAACACAACTGCATTTTTATAGTATACCTTATATAGCTGAAGCATTAAAAGTATTATTAATATTATTTCAAAAGCTTGTTATAAATATCCTGTATTTTTTTTGTGACAGGGAATCCTCTTGGTATATGATATTACAAATTATCAAAGCTTTGAGAATTTAGAAGATTGGTATTCTGTGGTGAAGACAGTGAGTGAAGAGTCAGAAACTCAGCCCCTGGTTGCTTTGGTGGGCAATAAAAGTAAGTTGGTACTACTTATTTATGTGTAGTAGAGTTATTTGCTTCTTTGGACTGAATGTTTGTGTCCTCTCACTAATTGACATTTTGAGATTTGAGTTCCCAATGTGGTGGTTAGTGGAGGTATAGCTTTTACTAAGTCACTGGCTCATGGTAGTGGAACCCTCATGAATGGGATTAAGCCTCTATAAGAAGAGAGGATTTTTCCCCCATGATATGAAGACATAGCAAGAAGGTAACCATCAAACCAGGAAGAGGACTCTCACTAACATCAGCTAGCACCTTCATGTTGGACTTACCAGTACCTGGAACTATAAGAAATAATGTTTGTTCATTGGTCTTTGGCATTTTGTTATGGTGGTCTAAACTGATACTTTGCAAAGAAATTTGCCTGTCTTGTTGATAATTTTTTTCCTAAAAGTATATTTGATATCTGGAAACAGCTTCTTTTGGAGTTTAAGTAGAAAATTCTTATGAATATGCATAACAGCCTTTTTTTTCCCCGTAAGTGACATTTCAGCTCTGAAATTTGTTGTATACCACATGGCTCACATTGCAGTCTAAGAAGTAACTTTTGAACACACGAATTGAACCCTCATTTCAGGCATTGTAGTGTGATTAAGACATCCTCTACTGTTCAGTAACTATTTTGAGGCTTGTTCTGCTCTAATTTATCTGCTGCTTTTGTAAAGGTAAGTTCAAAACTGTGTATGTTTTTGCTCTTCTGTGGTGTTCAGGAAGCAATGTGGACTGTTAAGAACAATAGCACAGCTGTAGATTTTATGACACTACGTTATAGCTTCAGTTCTGTCCCAGTGGTTTTGAGACATTTCACTAGATGATCTTGAGTTTAATTATTCTGCATTCCTATTTTTTTTTAAATAAACTTTTCCTGAATTTTTCTGATTTATTTCTGAAATGCAGATAATCTTTTTGGGAAGAGTATTGTATTAGGGAAAGGTACAGTCTTTGGCAGATAAGTATGGATAAGTAATTTTTTGAGGTGAGTTTCTTGAACTATGATTTACATCATATAGAAATCATAAAACTGAACCTGGACTCAACCAGTATTTGGTTTATAGACTTGTAGTTATTTTGAAAAGAAGACATTAAGAAGAGGTTTTAGATACATGAGATATTATGGTATGATCTGAGAATCTCTAGCTTACTTGAGGTCAGAGAAAGAGAAAATGAATTCAAATTATACCATAGAGGATTTAGTTGGGAATTGTTTCCTGAGTACAAGGGTTGTTAAGTCAATGCCTAGCTATACTATCAAGAGAATTAGCTTCTCTAAAATGTAATACATTTTCCCTGTTATTATTTAGGAAATAGTATTTCCAACTAGATTTCTGCATTATGTAGTTTTACACACCAAAATGAGCATTTAATAAACCTAATCCCTAGTTTAAAATCATTACATAACAGGTGTGAAGCCATTTCTTTGCAGTTAAAAATAATACTCTCAGCTGTCTAGAAAAAAAAAAAAAGTATTGCATGTCACAAAATGGCATGCCCTTTGGTAGAAATTGTGTGTTTTGTGTTTAGCTTTGACAAAAAATTACACATCTGTTTTATAAGTAATTCTTTTGGAGTGAATTATGATTTGTAGTTCATTGAAATCTCCCTTCTAAATAATAGGTTTTGGTCACTTTGAATTCTATTTCTGTTTGCAGCTTTTCATTATAGATGATAATTTCTTGGTCAGTTGTCATGTTACTAAAGCATTAACTCATACTCTGCTTATACTTTTGTTGGAGATTTCCCATCACTCTATGGGAATCTGTAAAGGAAAGAGGAGAATTGGCATTTGTTTTCATTTCTTTCTGGGTACAATCTAACCATCATCTGAGATAATGACATAGTAGTATATAATTATACATTATGCTATATGTTTAGGTTATCCTGTGATGCATCCACCATTGGTTAATGTCAACAACAGAATATTAGATTAGATGAAATACTGGTCTAGACTGGTGGTGTTATGTCCAGGTATTAAAAATAAAGTAAAACTGTAGTTGAAGTTTTTTAAATTTTTGCAGAAAATAGGTTGCTGTATTTGAAGTTTACTATTATAAAAACTCAGACTTTTCATCTTTGACTTAGTGATAACCCCATTCTTTTTTAATTTAAATTTTAAAATTTATTTTACATACCAACCACAATTTCCCCTTCCTCTTCTCCTCCTGTCTTTTCCCCATCTGCCTCCTTTCTAACTTGCCCCACCCATCCACTCCTCAGAAAAGGTAAGGCCTCCTAAGGGGGGCAGTAAAGCCTAGCCTGTCAAGTTGAGGCAGGATTAAGTTCCTCCCCCTACACCAAGGCTGAGCAAGGCATCACATCATAGGGAATGAGTTCTAAAACGCTAGCTCATGAGCTAGGGACAGATCCTGGTTCCACTACTAGGGCCCCACAAATAGACTAGGTAACACAACTGTCACCCATATGAAGAGGGCCTAGGTGGGTCCCATGCAAGTTCCCTAGCTGTCGGTCTAAGTCTATGAGTTCCCAGGAGCTAGGGTTAGCTGCTGTCTCTGTGGGTTTCCCCAGTCATGATCTTGACCTCCATCTTGCTTATATAATCCCCCCTCCCTCTCTTTGACTAAACTCCTGGATCTTGGTCCAGTTCTTGGTTGTGGATCTCTGCATCTGCTTCCTCAGGTACTGGATGAAGGTTCTATGATGACAGTTAAGGTAGTCACCAATCTGATTACAGGAGAAGGCTGGTTCAGGCACCCTCTCCACTACTGCTTAGAGTCTTAATTGGGGTCATCCTGTGGGTTCCTGGGAGTGTCTCTGACACCAGGTTTTTAAGTCCGTAATGCCCCCTCTATTGAGATATCATTTTCATTGCTCTCCCTCTTTATCCCTTCCTCAACTGGACCACCCCTATCACTCATGCTCCCATCCCCCATTACCTCCCCTCTACGCCAACCCCCAGTTTACCCAGGAGATCTCATCTATTCCCCCTTCCCGGGGTGATCCATGTGTCCCTCCTAGCGTCCTCCTTGTTACCTAGCTTCTCTGGAGCTGTGGATTTTATCCTGGGGTAACCCCATTTTTAAGTGGATTTATAATATGTCCCTTCAGTACGACATATAACAGAGTATATAGTCACCAAGACTATTACATATGTAAAACAAAGAGGTTATAGGTGAATATTTCCTGGCTATTATTACTGTATAATCTGTCATTGGCCCAATTTCATGTGATTATTTAGTGAAAGATTATCCTACAGTTAAGCCTATTAGGTCTTTAACTCTGTATCTTCTGAATATTTTACAATTTGTGTTTCCAAATTGATAGTACACTAGTTAATGTAATCATATGTATTTCTTTTCTTTTTGGGAATGCAATTTTATTAAAAAGCTGTAAAATTCACAAAAGACTACACATTGCCAAAGCAAGAGAAACAAGATGGATTAAGGGTGGGAACCCTCTCATGGGAAGTGGGGGGGGGGGCAGTGAATGGAGAGAGAACTTGGAGAAAGAGAAGGGGAGGAGAGGAAAGCACGTGTGACTAGGAAGATTGAGTCAAGTAGGAATAGAAGACAGGAGAGAGAGAGAGAGAGAGAGAGAGAGAGAGAGAGAGAGAGAGAGAGAGAGAGAGAGAATATAAAAGAGGGAGCCATTATTGGTTTGAAGAGAAAACTGAACCTAAAGAAATGTCTAGAGACCTACAAGACTGACTCCAACTAACAATTTGAGCAACCGTGGAAAGGCTACCATAAATGCCCTTCCCGGATGGTGAGATCAAAAACTAACTTATCCACCATCATGGAGCCCTCATTTACTACCTGTTGGAAACAGAAGCAAACACCCATAATTAAACACTGAGTCGAACTAGAATCCAGATGCAAGACCAGGTTGCAGAAACACGTAGAGACAGCTGACCTGAACAAGGAGGAGCTAATGGGTCCCCAGACTGATAGCTGGGAAGCCAGCATGGGACTGACTCAGGTTCTCCTGAATATGGGTCTCAGCCAGAAGGACTGAGCAGTCTAAGGGACCTCAGACAGTGGAACCAGGATGTATTCTTGGGGCACAAAAGGACCTTGCTAACATATCCCCCATGGAGTGATAACTGCCTTAACAGAGACAGGAGAGAAGCCCTAGTCCCTACTTCAAGTGACTTGACAGATCTACATGACCCCACCTGGATGGCACAGCCCTATATGGAATTGGGGTGGGGGGATGGGAGGGGAGGGTGGTCAGGGTGCATGTGAGGGGGCAGAGAGAGTAAGAAGGAGGGAGGGAGGAAAGGAGGAAGGGAGGAAGAGGGAACTGGGATTGACATGTAAAAAAAGAGTGGGAACCCTACATGTGGTGTGTGTTGGGGAATGGGATGGGAGGGTGGTCTGGGGGGGGGTATGGGAGGATGGGAGAGAGGGAGGGAAGGAGGGAATGAGAGGGAAATGGGATTGATGCTAAAATAAGAGGAATAAATAATAATAATAATAATAATAGTGTTTAAACATGGTTACCTTTGGGTGAAATGATCTATTTTATTGAAAATACTCTTTTTTAAAAAAGTTTATTTATTTATTTATTTATTATGTATTCAGTGTTTGCCTGCATGTTTCCTTGTAGGCCAAAAGAGGGCATCAGATCTCATTACAGATGGTTGTAAGCCACCTTATGGTTGCTGGGAATTGAACTAAGGACTTCTGGAAGAACAGTCAGTGCTCTTAACTGCTGAGACAGTCCCAAAGTAGATTCTTTTAAACATAATTTTTTTTATTGAATCTCTGGGAATTTCACATCATGCACCTTAACCTTAATCATATCCTAGTCTTTAAATATCTACCCTCCATCCTTGTAACCTTTCTCCCAAAAGAAAATAAAAAATTAAGAAAAATTAGAAAAGAAAAATCAAACAGAAACAAGCAGAAAACTACCAACAGAAAACAAAAAATCCATCTACCTGACCCTCTGGGCAATGACTGCTCCTCTGTCAACCACAGCATTCTATGCATGTGCCAGTCTGCTCCTCTGTCTTTCCA